TCGCTCCGGCCCCCCCCTCCCCTCCCCACTCCTCCTCTTCTCCTCTCCTCGCTTCGACTCTCCTCGTCTTTTCCGCGTCGCATCGTTGCGCACGCATCGACGCGTTGCGATTTTCAACACACACTTTACGTCGCACTTCGTGAATTTGGAATTTGAAGAAAGAATTCGCGGTCAGAGTCGGCGCTTTTCTGGAGCCGAGGGGGGAAGGATGGCCGCCGTTCAAATACGAGCTTGATGCCGTACAAGAAGAAACCCCTCGCTGTAAGAAATATTGTAGGTTTATATGGTTTCTTATTTTCTTTTTGTTTTCTTAGCTGAAATTTCTTATGTGTGAAGGTGCGACACGGTTCGTCTCTTCTTTTTTCCTGGTACAACGCGAAGAGACAAGAAGGAAGGGGGTGAAAACCGTGTACGGTGAAAAGGCATGGTGTAACATTGCGCGTAACGAGAGTTAACGAGTAAATTTCTAGTAACGGCTTTATGAAATTTCCGAATAATCTCTCATTGGTCATCGAATACCGTCGTTACTTCGAATTACTGCGCATCGCTGAAAATTGGTCTTCGCTTGGTCTTCTTACATCGTGGAACAAGAATAATCGACTGAGAACAGACCCCATGTTGATCCAATATTGAAGATTTATTGGTAATTTGTGCGTGATTAAAGTCGACAAACGGGTTGGAGCATCACGCGGGCGCTAACTAACTTCGCGGCGAGGATCAATCGGTCGGGGTTACATTCTAAATGCCGCGTGCGAAGAAGTTTCTCGCTCGATTCTGAAAATGTCACGTGCCGATCCGCGCGCGAGTGTACCGTCCGCGATCATAACGAAATTCCTAAAGCGCCTGGCTGGGCAGGCCACTCAGGGAAATGGGAGAGAAAGAGACGAACGGCGAAGTTAATCGCCGATCGCTGCGCTGGCCGGGAGTGAATTACCGACGGGCGCGTACGTAAATCACCGCGGAATCGTTAATTAGGTGGTAGAACGAACGAGCTTTCTGGAAAATGTCAACGAGCGGCTGAGGACACCGCGGTGAAACGGGATGCGCGCGGTTCTTAGCTTCTTACCGACTCTCGGAGACTCTCGATTGGGGACCTTTCGACACGCGCGATTTCGCTCGCTGGCAGCCTCGCAATTTGTCGCGATGCTACGACTAGCTAATTTATAATCTCTCCGCTAAGATGGAACTGCGTGAGTCGATAGAAATCGCGAAATGGAAAGCCTATTAGCATTCGAACATTCTTACAAAATATCCACGCTCGCTGTGTATACGCGACGAAGCGTAGAGTTTTAGTGTAGAGATTAAATACCGAGAGATGATTTCGTCAGCAATTGTATACCAGTTATTATGTATGCCTTCATTTTTACGAACTCGCGACGCTAAAAATTGTTAACAGTGCCGGCATGTAACCGAAAGAAAGGGGCCGATTTTTGCTCAAAGGTGTAAGTAAAAGGAATAGTGTTTTTTCTTTTTTTTTTTTTTGTAGATTTTGATCTGCTGGATACAACAAAATTGTTAAAAAGTTTGTAACGTTTTGAGGAATACCTTGAAAATTATGCAGAATATTTGAAATTTGAATACGCCACATCCGTGGCTCAATTTTTCAAGTATTTTCCAACGCTACGAACTTTTTTAATAATTTTATCGTATCCGGGGGTCAAAATTTACAAAAAAAAAAAAAAAAAAAAACTATTCCTTTTATACACTTTTTTAAAAGGGAAATTAGTCCGTTTTTAAACCCTCTCTTTTCGTATAATAACATAACAATATAATTTTTCGCCGAAATACCAGTCTTGCCTATTTAAGAGAGACGCTCGTTCTCCATTTCGTTGCTCGATTCAACACACGAGGATGAAACGGTGAGCGAACTAAACTCGACAATTCGACCGAGACGTCTCCCCCGGCGACGCACCTAATTCGACGGCGCGTAGCGCCGCTTTTGCTCGAAACATCGAAATTAATGAAGTCGTCCGACCGGGCCGCGGCCTAAGCGCAGTAAATTAGAGGTACACCAACCATTAGAATACTTAACGAGGACATCACGGTGGGACGCAGCGTGCGCGGGTGTGATGATGAATCACCGCCAGGGATAACTCGCCGCTCGCGCGCGCCCAAGAATATTAAATTAAGTGTACTTATTGTTAGCCGAAAACCTCATTCGTGTCCCCTTTGCCGGATAGTCTTCTCCGAGTTTCTCCTTCTTTCTTTCTTTTTTATTTTCTCTTCTGCGAGAAGCTTGAAGAGTCGACTAGCCGGAACCCGAGAGAAACGAGAGAAGTCGCTAGACGGGAGAACATTGTCGAGCGACAAAAGCGTTCTCCTCTTTTTCGCGAGAGTTCCTTTCTTTTCTCTTCCCTTTCTCTCTCTCTCTCTCTCTCTCTCTCTCTCTCTCTCTCTCTCTCTCTCTCTCTCTCTCTCCGCTTTCCATCATCGCAAAAGTGTTCTCGAGAAAACTGAAAGCACCATCGCGACTGTTTATTATCAGTGAATAAGGCGGAAAAATTCGACACGACAAAGTGCGATTTCGACAACGATCGATTTGCACTTCTTTCTCTCTCTCTCTCTCTCTCTCTCTCTCTCTCTCTCTCTCTCTTTTATTCTCTGCCCCTCCCTCTTGTGCGGAGTCCCCTGGGTCAACGTTTCTCTCTTTCTCTGTCTTTCCTGCGGAGAGTTGAAATATACAAAATGAAATATGAAATAATGGTTCGTGCCTTGTGGCTGGCTGAAGGCACGGGCGCACCCATATCTACGCCCCCATACACCTATGTACCTTTACAAG